AATGTAGATGTTTGGCTCAAAGCCTGGGAGAGTGGGAAGCCCTGCCTTCAACTGGGAATTCCTCACATATGTCTGCTCCCTGCTTGGTTCCTGGAGACTGGAGTCCAGCACTTCAAGGCTTAGTGGCTCTCCCCGACGTCTGAGGGTGTGGCAGGGTGCCAGCTACCTCTGCATTTCCTCCAGTGCCCACAGCTGTCCAGCTGGCTCTGCCACCCTCCGCCTTCTCAAGGACGCCAGGGGCTGGGTAATCTTCCCGTTTGAGCGAAGCCCCTGGAAGTGTGGATCTCCCCCAACCCCTGCCTCCCCAGGAAAATGAGTCCCTCAAAGCTGTTCTCTTAAACTCACAGCTCGAAGTTGTCCATTTTATTCATCTATTGTTGTTAATGCTTTCAGTAAGCTCAACAGTCAGCTGTTATTACCACCCAAAGGCATGTGAAAGCTAATAATCTTTTTTTAAAGAAATATAACATATATAGAGAAAAATGCACAAACCATAGACATCCAGTTGAATGAATTTTCACAAGTTCAACATACACATGTAACCAGCACTCAGACCAAGAAACAGAATGAAACTGGGACCCCAGTGCCTTCCCTGGCTTCCCTTTCTGTATCTCTCTAAATGAGCAAGGTCATGGGTTGGTTTTGTCTGTTTTAAAGCTTTATACAAATAGCCCCATTTTATGGATGTGCAGAGTAAGGATCAGAGAGGTTAAGTAAGTTTCCCAAGGTCACCATTCAGTGGCAGACAGACCTGAGTTTTGAATCCAGCATTGTGTGGCCTTGAAGTGTGCTCTTCCTTTCTTCCTACTGTAGGACTCTTCTTTCTTCATGCACCAAATTTTAGTAAATTTTGTACAAATTATTTCTTACTTTAAAACAGCTCAAGGGTGGAGAAAATTGTGGCTAAAAATTTCACATTCATGGCCACTTTGCTTTGGTTCAGGAACGTCAGAGGAGGCTGTCTTATTTTAAGTCATTGATCCAGGTGGGAGGCCCAGCCAGAGTCCAAGTTCTCCTTCCTGGCTGACAACTGCCCTCAGGGTCTCAGCCTGTTTTTATTTCCCCTTTTAGGTCCCCACCTAAGCTGGCCTCAGGGCTGTAGACTTGAAGCCTGGCCCAGCTCTCATTTCTTTACTGCCCATGAGCTCCGTCAGTGTCCAGGTGGTCTTTGTGTTGCTCCTGGGAGCATAGAGGAGTTAACAGAAAATTTAAATGACAGAGATTAACGAATCAAACTCTAAGCTTCTTGTAAGTGAGAACTCCTGCCCCTCAAAATGTGGGTGACGTAGCCTCTTGCAAATTTTGGCAAGGTCTTATCTTTGCATACCCCGTCTTGCCTCCTGGTTGGTTTCTGCTTAGCACTGTACTGAACCAGACTTAGTACAACTCCATGAGTTTTGGAGGGCACAACACAATAACTATTTTATAAAAAATAGCTGTGTTGTATAGACTTTACTGAAAAGTGGACATGTCCTCTGGAGGGGTCATGTAGCATGTCATAGAGTGAACAATGTATTTCCTGTTCACCCGAAGTCCCCTCCAGTCACCCTGCCATGAGAGAGCCTCTATTGGGGCTGCCTCCTGTCTAATGTCCAGTGTGCCACCTCTGCCTTGCTCCTCTGTTGAGCGCTGTTTCCCTTCCCTCCCAGCTGCCCGGGGATCCCACATCTTCCCCTTCCATGGTGCAGAGTAATTTAGCTTGCTTTGCTGAAGCCTGGACAACAGCCATCATCCATGTGCTTCAAGTCCAACCTTCTGCCCTCATTGACAGTTTTCCCCCAGTAAAATAGCACATCCATGCAGAAGTGAATCCATGCTTGGGCCCCAGAGTGAGCCTGCAAGGTTCAAGTTCAGCTCCCCGACTTGCTACTGTGAGCATGTGGGCAAGTCCTGTGGACAGCTTTCTCCACTGTAAACTGGAGATGATAATAGTACCAGTTCTATGTCATTGTTGTGAGGATTCAATGATATAATTGATGTAATTAATATATGTAATTCTCGGTACATAATGCTGGCTAATATTTTTTTTAAAATATATTTTATTGATTTTTTACAGAGAGGAAGGGAGAGAGATAGTTAGAAACATCAATGAGAGAGAAACATCGATCAGCTGCCTCCTGCACATCTCCTACTGGGGATGTGCCTGCAACCCAGGTACATGCCCTTGACCGGAATCGAACCTGGGACCCTTTAGTCCGCAGGCCGATGCTCTATCCACTGAGCCAGACCGGTTTCGGCTTGGCTAATATTTTTTAAAAGAAACTGTGTTCTTCACAGATCAGAGACTTTATGTCCCTAGGATTTTGCAGGAACACCACAAACATTTGATGATTGAAAGCCATTTAAACAATCCTTGCTAGAGAGAGGTCAATGGGGGAAAAAGGAGACTCATGTAATACTTCAAACAATAAAAGGAATTAAACAAACAAAAACTAATCCTTAAATCTTTTCATTCTATAGGCCGGTGAAGCTCTTAATGTGTGTGGACCACAGCATGCATCCTGACTGTGCCTTAACTTCGTAAGTAAATGTCCTAACCCGACCTCATTGCTTCCCCAGGGGGAAGCAATCCTTACTCTATAGAACACGGATGAATTGCAATATGAGTTGCTAAATGCCAACTGCAGAGTCAGGTTTGCACTTCTTTGGCCTGGTGCAGGTATGACCTGGCTGAGCCTAACTCCCACCATGCACTGCAGAGCTGAGCCTGCCCCGGTGCAGCGAAATTCTAGGAGGACCTTTTAAAATGATTTCTTATTCCTAATATGTTATAAAATTACATACATTTTTTGGGGAAAGGTAACGCATATACATGGTTTGAAATTCATAGTATAAAAAAGTTGAGAAAGAGAACAATTTTCCTTCCTCTATTCCTAGCCATCCAATTCCCTTACCCAGAGGCAGCCACTACTTCTATTTTTCTATTTTTTTCAATTAAAGTTCACATTCAAGACTATTTTGCCACTAGTTCTAATTTCTTGTGTATCCTAAAATATTCTGTGCTTGTAACAACACACACACACACACACACACACACACACACAGGCATATTTCTCTTATACTGTGCATATAAATGATAGTACACATGGTGCCAGGGTCCAGCCCCAGCGGGTCCAGGGGTCCCCAAAGGTGTGGACAGAGTCGGCGAAGAAGGAATGACACGGAGACAGCGTTCAGTTGATCAGCAGCCTAGGCAGGATCTCTAGCCAAGTTCTAGTCAGGATCTCCAGCGAAGTTCTGGTTAGGATCTCCAGCCAGGTTCTGTGGCCATGTTCTCTCGCTAGGTTCTCCAGCCAGGTTCGGGTTAGGTTCTCCAGCCAGGTTCGGTCGCCAGGTTCTGTAGCCGGGTTCTCTTGCCAATTTCTGTAGTCAGGTTCAGTCCAGGATCTTTTGCCATGTTCTCTCCAGCGAAGTTCTAGGTTCTGTGTAGGTTCTGTCTTCTAAGTTCTGTACTTAGTGAAGGGGTTTTATTCCCTCCCTATCTTCAGGGGAAAATCTCTACCTGGGGAAACAACCTTTCTCGGAGAGGTGACCTTGGTTAAAAACACATAGTGCCAAGAAGGCGAGCAAATATATTAAGAACAGTATGCCATATATGCCAGGTCCCTTGAAACAGCAAGGATGGACCAGCTCCCGGCAACATGGGATCCTTTTCTGTATCTGGTGCTACTTTCATATCTATGGATGAAGCTGCCCCACCTTTTTGAACAGGTCTGTGGTGTTTTGTGGTACGTATGTATCACGACTTACTTAACCCCTTACCCACAGGTGAGCATTTAGATTGTTCCCCATATTTAGTTGTCACCAACCATGAAGAAGAGGATATCTTTTCCCTCTGCTCCATTTCCTCAGAGTAATTTCCTTTAGCATTTTTGGTTCATCTCTTGCCGTATGTCCTCAATGCTCAGGCCCACACATGTGTTACAGATGCAGATGTAAGTTTGCTTCTTTGGTTTTGGTTTGGTCTTATTTCCTTTTTTTGCCTTTGTTTCTGTACAAAAAGCAATCATTCCAGACATACTATTCTGTGGGCTTTTTTCACTCAGCAGTGGAAGGGGGTCCTTCCACGTCTGGTCACGCTCTCTGACTTGGTTTTTCAGTGGCTACAGAGTGGTCTGTAGGAGGGCCACTCTGCCATTAATTACTGTCTAGTTATAGGCATACTCATTTGTAGGTTATAGTTGTTTTGTTGCTATAAACAATGCTGAAGTACAACCCTTGAGTGTATGCTTTGAGCTCTCGTGAAAGCATTTGTGTGGGACAGATCACCTGCAATGGACGTGTGTGTAGTTTGAATGTTGATGTTTCCGAGAGGATGCACATGCGTACACACCCACCAAAGTATAAGGTGGGTGCCCCTTCCCCCCGCCCCCCGCCCCCGTTGCCAAATGTGAATCCTGACAGATTTTTTTCTTTTTTCTTTTTTTTGTAGCTCAGTGCCTGATTAAGCTTTGATTGCGGAAACATCCACTTCCACAATGGCTGTTTCCAGTGAACAAGCCACCAGCCACAGGACTGAAGAGCCAGCGTCCAGTCCCCTTTGAGTTTCCTGAGTTTTAGAGATCTTGGTTGATTCAATAACTGCTCATTCAGGCCACTGTTTTTTCTACTTGCTCTCGCTTTAAATCCCCTCTCTTAAGTTTTAAATTCACCAGTAAAGACTGAGTCCCCAAAACCCTAGGCCTTCACCCATGACCCGAGTAAAAGCAGAACCCCAGACCTGTGTGTGTTCTTGCTCCACCCACAACTTCACTCTGTCCCAGGTACGCTGGGTAATTTCCGGGTCCTATAAGTAATAAACTTTCCCCCCTCAAGTTCTGTGATGGTTATTGCTAAAGGGCATTTTGCAACCATGAGAAGAACCGCAAGGGCTGGCATAGCCACAGTGCTGGATATTGGGAAACTGAGGCTGCCACAAAACATGGGGATTATCTGTGTCTGAATCTGTACCTGTACCTAATTCTAGGTAGACTTACAGGTAAGACATAGTGCTTTATTGTCATTTTCATTTGTGTTAGCAGGAAGATTTCCCTTTCATTTCTTTCCATCTGCTAAAATCATACTGACCTTTGAGGACCCAACTCCAAATGCCCCTCTCTACAGGGCTTTCCTGAGTCTACAGGTGGATGAAAGAGCTCCCTTCTCTGTACTCCAAGGACTTTGTACTTAGCTTGAAGACAGTACTTCCGCTTTCTAGCCCCGTTACGTTACACTCCACACCACCTGTCTGCTTTTCTTGACTTGGATATCGCATCAACGTCCTCTCTGTGTGTCTCATAACAGTTGCACATAGTAGGTGCTCCATGAATGTCTGCTGGATCCATTTGTCCATCCACAAGAGGAAGAGAACTAATCAGGGCTGGACATCAGCGGTGTGCCAGGCATGTGCTATGTGCCTTGCATAGAATGTTTCCTTCATCCTTTTAACTGGCCCATCAGACAGAAAGATAGAAACTGCTCATCAGCCCCATGGGAAGAAACAGCTCTTCTCCCTTTCATTTTGTAGCAGAACTTTTGCATATTTGGTCAGGTTCATGGCTGCCAAGAAAAACGAGTGTCCTTCCTAGCCTCCCTTTCACTGTGGCTGCGTGATGTGTGCAGCTCCCGGGTGAACCACTGGAAAAGAAGGAAAAGGGAGCCCTTTCCTCCTGGTGGGTGTATGGACCCAGAAGATGTGATGCTGAGCCATCTCCAAAGGGGCGTGTGCCCTGGATGGGGCTGGAGCCACTTGGACAGTTACTGAGAGAGAAATGAACATCTGTCTTGTCTAAGCCTGGAGATTTGGGGTCATTTCCACAGTAACCAAACCTGAATATGAACCAGTGAGGGTAGTTTTTGATATGCTTCTGTCAGAAATGGAGAACCTCTGGTTCAGAGAAACTACTGAAGAACTCCCTCAAGACCACCCAGCAGCGAGTGGGCCTGAAGCTGTGGTCACCAACTTTTTGGACCTCGCGGACCATGGATTGGTGACCACTGGTCTGAAGCGAGTCTGAGGTTTCCGGAGTCCACTCTTGCATATGTACCAGGAATGGCTGGTGAGCTGAAGTCCTATGAATTTGACATGCATTATTTTGGAGTCTACTCATAGGAGATGGACCTGACTTTCTTCATCTGATAAAGAAACCCACCATCTCATTCCCGCTGCTCCAAGACCATCAAGGTCCCCTACCAGCAAGTCCAAACTGCCAGCCTGGCCTTCCAGGTGCTCCATTGCAGGATAGCTTTGATCCACTTCCCTAAAGAAATCTTTCTGCCCATCTGGGCACACTGACCCTTCAGGTAGAGTAAAAGCACTGCAGTAGGAATCCGATGACCTCACCCACAAAACTAAAACTAGTGGAAAATGTCTCTGTGCTATTGTTAAGATTGAATAAATCAATGTGTATAGAAGCTCCCAATGTCCTTTCTAGACAGGACACTAGGAAGACTCCCAGAGCCTGGGATGGGTGCAGCATTCTAGTTCTTAAAGTTCAAGTAGGGAGCTCATTGGTCGAAATTCTGAATTGCAGGTATCACACATCAGCCCAGGTAGTTCAGGGGAGATGGGATATATATATATAGTAAAGGGTTTTAGGTCACTCACAGAATCTTTCTGAGAGAGCCAGAGAGGCAGGACTGGAGGTCAACCAAAGTTTCACCCAGAACTGCCCCAGGGAAGACCTCACTGCAGCCTGTGTGAGTTCTCAGAGTACTTGTGTTGCTCACACCTGGGTACTTTTTCTAGAATTTCTTCCTTGGAAAGCTGTTGCCTTGGGTACTGCTGAGGCTAAAATGGACCCTGAGTGGCACCTGTTGTTTTAATCCACTGTGTTCACATATATACAGATGTACCCAGAAGTGGATATATCTGGTCGGTAGAGTTTTGGTCACATGTTTTGGCTCTTACCTGCAAAGGAGTTTGGGAAATTGAGTATCTGTGTTAAATTCAGTCTCATGGCTTTCAATTTCATCAAAATGCTGGTGACTCCAAAATGAATACATGTAGTTCAGGCCTTCCACTGAACTCCACACTTGTATATTCAACAGTCTACTCAATAGTCCCCCTTGGATGCTGCATAGATACTTCAAACTCAACACAACCCAAACTGAACTCCTGAATATAACCATGGTGATAGACTGAGCCATGACATCCAAAGATATCAGTGCCCAATTCCTGAAACCAGTGAATTTTACCTTCTATTTATAGATGAGGCTTTGCCGATGGGATTAAGTGTCTTGAGATCAGGGCTTATCCTGTATTACCCAGGTGAGCCCTAAATGTAATTATGTTTCCTTTTACGATGGAAGCAGAGGGACATTGACGTGGAAGAGGAGAAAGCTGGGTGATAGTGGAAGAGAGATTAAGTGATGCACTTTGAAGATAAAAATCAAGGACTCAGATTCTTCCCTCAGGAGGTCCCTGGGAAGGAGCCAGCCCCACTGACACTGGGTGAAACTGGTTCCTGACTTCTGGCCTCCAGAGCTGTAGGAGAGGAAATTTGTGTTGTTTTGAGCCACTAAATTTATTAGGGCAACAATAGGAAACTAACACCCCTAAACTTGGTCTACCCATAGTCTTCCTGTCTCAATTGATAATAATGCCCACCCTTCCAAAAACCTCCAAATGCCCCTTCCAAAAACCTTGAGCCACCCTTCACTCCTTTTCTTCTCTCACCCCTCTCCAGAAAATCCTTCAGGTCCAACTTACAAAATTGCTGAACTATGCAGTCATCTACTATGACCAGCCTGTTTTGAGTGGCTGTCATCTGTCACCTGGATTATGGCCATGAACCCTGGCCTCTTTGAAACCTAGATACTAGAATTAACATTTTAGTTTTCAATAGGGAGATTTCAAGCATACATGAAGCATAGAGAGTAGTCCTTTAAAAAGTCAGTCATCTCATGCATGTGCTCACAATCCTGCCATGGCTCTCATGTCCCTCAGAGTGAGAGCCAAACAGCCCTTCTCCACTCCCCCCCCCCCCCCGCCCCCCTTCTCTGATTTCTCTCCTTACTCCCCCTGCTCTCACTGAGCCCCAGCCACAGTGGACCCCTGGAACATGCCAGGCACATCCCCACCTCAGGGCTTAGCCCTCGCTGTGTCCTCTCCCTAGAAGTCCTTCCCAAGCTCTCCATGTGGCTGCCTCACTTCTGTATTCGTTCATGCCTCTCCTCTATGAGATTACCTTGACTTCAGTACTAAAATTACAACCTGCAGACTGTGAACTTTATATGGATACAGATCATGCAAAACTCCTCTTTGCAACACCTATTGCACTGTACACTGCTGCTCCTGAAATAGGAAACTGGTGCCACTCTGGCAGAAGTGCCTCAGTTTGCCTCCCCTGCTGCAGGATGTATAAGGTGAATGAGGGTGGCTCTTCTCACTGCCCTCAGGGCTTTCCGAGTGCTTTAGACGTGTCAAGTTTCCAGCCCAGCACTCAGGAGTCTTCACCTGTTTCATTTCTACCATAAATTCTTGCCAGGTGGGCACTTTGACCCCCAATGATGCTGAGGCTCAGAGAACATGGACCCAGACATATAAAACAAATGAAGACAAAACCATGTTTCTATCTGTGCATAATAATGGGTGTAAATGATAGAAATAGGTCTGAGAAGATAAACTCCAAATTGCTAACTTCTAGGGAAGGGAGAACTGGAAAAGATAAAAGGAGACTCTCATTACTACTGTGTTTAGTTTTGTATTACTCATTTTCTTAAAAATAAATTTATCCTTTTATATATTAGTTAATTGCCTAAAAGCAAAAATAATGTAATCAATATTGAATGAATCAAGTTTGGGACATTAACTGAATCACAAGTGCAATTGTAGAAAATGTCCAGCAGGTGGAGCCCTGGTACAAGTTTGTGGGCTGCTGGGGATTCCTTTAGCACAAGGGTTCTCAACCTGTGGGTCGCGACCCCTTTGGGGGTCGAACGACCCTTTCACAGGGGTTGCCTAAGACCATCAGAAAACACATATTGAATATATAATTACATATTGTTTTTGTGATTAATCACTATGCTTTAATTATGTTCAATTTGTAACAATGAAAATACATCCAGCATATCAGATATTTACATTACGATTCATAACAGTAGTAAAATTACAGTTATGAAGTAGCAACGAAAATAATTGTATGGTTGGGGGTCACCACACCATGAGGAACTGTATTAAAGGGTCGCGGCATTAGGGAGGTTGAGAACCACTGCTTTAGCAGAAAGGGTGACCATCATTGTGGCACGGGCCTGACCAATCAGAGCAGACACCCGGTGGCCTCATCAGGAGAGCCACTAGCCTTAACAACTGGCCAGACATGTGGGGGGTACCAGCAGCAACCGCAGCAGGAGTGGGACTAACCCTGCTCATTGTTGTATCTTCAGTCCCTGGCTCAGTGCTTGGCACATGAAAGATGCTCAATGAATATCTGATGAGTAAATAAATGATTGTTCTCTGGGACTGGCCTTTCTTTAGAGCCACATTTTTGGACAAAATGTGTTAAACCTTCTGAGACTTCCTAGCATGCCCTCCCCTAGGCCATGGATGCCAGTTAGTGTTGCTTTGTCATGTGTCCAGCTTTGTGCAAACACTCAGGTACCTGATGGAACAGTGGATTCTTCCCTCAAAGCCAGAACACTCTGGGGGGATGGGGGAGGCAGGACAACTGTGTATACCAGCTTGGGTGCGGCTAGGAACCAGGTTAAGCTCAGAGTGGGTTAAATAAACAGACTCTAGAAAGGAAGACTGTAAAGCAAGCCCACATGCGGCTGAGCCAATATAACGGTATGTAAGAAACGTTTTAATTAAACTTTCATAGCTTGATTTTTACAA